ACACACAGCTCTGGTGAAAAAGGTCTGTTCGTAAAGCGTGAGAGCAGCAAAGTGCGCACAAAGGTCCGTTAAACGAACGACCACCGCTCGGTCAGCTGTCGACGATAACATATACACTATAATACCAAGTATAAATAATAATCCATAATATAATACCGAATATAAACAAAAAATATAATACAATCTATCTAACATAATATAATACATATAATACAATTAAAAATGTAAATAATACAATATAATACAATATAATACAGTACAATATGAATTACATATAATATAATATAATATAACAATATAATACAATATACATAAACAATATAATATAATCAAATATAATTATAATAAATATAATATAACATAATATAATATAATAGAATATAATTATCAATCATAATTAATATAATAGTAATACAATATCAATATACTATAATATAATATATGCAATACATAGTTTTAATCTTAATATATACTTAACCTAAAATATATACAATATAATATATATAATACAAACTATAATATAATACAATACAATATAATATCAATATCCACCATAACGACAATATAATATATATTTAATACAATATAATACAATATAACTTACACATCAATATAATACAAGTTATAATACAATACAAATATAATATAATACAATATAAGTATAATATAATCATAACTATAATATAATATAATATCCACATCACAACATTTATACAATATCAATTATCCATATAATACAATATAATATAATATACAATATAATATAATACAATATAACATTATATTATATAATATAATATAATATATATATATATATATGATATATCAGCACTGCTTCGGCTGTTACATCATCATATGTTGTCACCTAGCAGAAATGTTGGATCGCTGCTAACATAAACGCATTCCTCGCTGTCCAATTAAACGTCCTGAAAAGAGGGAGTGACCCTCTGCTCGCTGAAACAAACTCCACCAGGGAAACCCTGTAAGACCACATTTTTCTAGCCTCACATCCTCTTGAGCCCGCGCAGCAGCGAAACCTAATACAGCCGTTACAACGTACAGTAAGCTGTCAGAGCCTCAGACAGACTGGGGAAAGTGCAGCGTGCACTGTGCTCACAGCTTTACAGCAGTGCTGCGGAGTCGAAGTGTGACTGCTGTAAAGGCTCACAGTTATCCTTTGTGTTGCTGTAGGACGCTGCTCACTATCTGCTGTTGAATCCTTTAATGTGCTGATGGCTTCGGTGTCGACACCTTATCCTGTGATTTCATCTGGATTCTGTTCTGATCTGTCGTTAGTGGCAGCGAGAGTCCGGCTGATAAATGGGCGGATATAATCTCGTTCCGCTCATGAATGTCAAGAAATGCCAAAGATTTGTAGTTGGCTCACCTGAGAGTGTTTTTCAGCTGTAAAATGTCATTGCAACTTACATTTCTTGCCAAATGTATGTTATGTGTGTCAGCCCCAAACGTCTGGGCCATAGTGGCGGCAGGGAGCTTCTTCAGGGATAGCAGGTGCTGTTTTTTCCCCCAGAAAACAAATACATGAGCTAGATCTTTGGGCTGAAACAAATAGAAAAACTATCTGCTAAATAATAATTGGTTAATTTTCCAAGCAAAAACGTTAAATGCTCAGTGGCTTTAGCTTCTCAAATGTGAGGATTGGACGTTTTTCTTCGTACCATATGATAGAGAAATGATTAGTTTTCACTCTTCCCAGCCACACCCTCTAAAACATCTTATTACCTGAACCATATCTCACTCACACTCCCTCTGTCTAAATGACAAATGTTGTGTAACCAATAGAAATACGGGATAAAGTGAACAAGCTCAGAGGCCATCTGGTCATTTTGCGTGAAACACTGCAAATATTTATCTAGTTAAATATTAGGACAAGAAAAGACACACAGATTAAGAACATCAAGGAGCTTAGTCTGTTTTAGGCGTTAAGTTCCTCACTGGCTGTGTCCATAAATTGTTACTTAATCTATAACAATGCAAACTGAGAACTTAAGTTAAGATTCATTTCATTTAGAAACAATGTGATCAAAGAATGAGTATAATTACTGAGGCAATCAAATACATTAATAATGCTGATTAAGTTCTACCAGTGCCATACCATCCACTCCTATTGCTTCTTCTTAAGCAGCTGGAGAGTGTAAATAGAAAGTTATTGGTATATATTTCTGAATAATAAAGGCGTACGTCCTCCACTAATAATTATATATCAGTACACTGGAAGATACACAAACTTTTATTTAATCAGAGCGATCACACCTTGGGCTTTTATTTTGTGAATCTTACCATCCCTAATAAGAAAATTACATTATTGATCTGAGCCGATATTTGATGCCAGGTGTTTGGGGGACACACACCTGTGCGCACACACACACACACACACACACAGTTACAGGAATGTAATTAAAGAGGACATTGTGTTACTCATTGGAGCTGCCGTTTACAGAGAGGGAGGTGTCCTCGCTCCTATCAGCTCCTGTTCTCATGCACTATTAATGAGCCGCTCACCTTTAGCCAGAAACAATCTTCTATCAGTACACTTGTTCTGGGAACCGCGTGTGTTGAGAGTTACTGAACGCCACAGTCCAGCTCTTTATATGTGGCACCATGGTTTAAATAGCAGCCTCATTCTCTCCAAAGGTTCATTTTGTTTCAAAGAAGGGAATCCATTTTTAAGATTAGCAGAGGTCACACCATAATTATCAGGACAGATAATGGAAACTTATAAATCATCAATACATTGTAATAAATGATGATTTTTGATAGACAGACAGACAGACAGACAGACGTAGATTAGAAGATAGATAGAGAAGAACAGACAGGACAGACAGACAGATTTTCACTAATTTCGGACATTTTATAGAACAACAATCATGTAATCAGATAAAAAATGATTGTTATCTGCAGCCTTAGTTGCAAAGAGTTACACTTTCAGTTTCTCCTTCAGGGCTCTGGTTCTATCCAACAGGGAGGACTGGGAAAGCCCCCCCGCCCCCCCCCCAGTAGCATTAACTGGGTCAAGCAGCAGCATCTACTCAGCCTAATATGTATTGTACCAATCTGGATTAGTCATCTGGTGTATTCCCGAACCACCTCAGACACACGCACAGCCTCTTTATTTATGAAAGGACTGGATTAAAAAATAAATCAGGTGTGCTGTCTTTTATCGCGGCGCACACGTAATCTCACCATTTAGCGTTCGAGCTCGGCGGTTTCTGCCTGAGCTCAGGAGTCGACCTTTTCCTGTTCTGTCGTCATTTTCTGCCGCCGGCTGTAATTGAAATGGTATCAGTGGTTTGTTGATAAGCCAGGCGGAGCAGTGCCCGGTTCAAATTGCCTCATCACGCAGAGCTGGCGGTCTGAATGGTCAGTGTGTCAGCCACTAATCTCTTAATCCTTTGCTGTGATTATAAATGAGGAGAAGTGAAAGGCCGGAGTCAGGAGAGAAGGATGGGTTCATGAAACCGATTCTCTTTTATCTTTTATAGTATGTATGTGTTTACCTGCTACCAGTAAGCAGATCACGTCATGTTTGTGTTTAATAAGTCCTTTTTCACCCTAATTTTGTGACGTCCTTGCGTAACAGTGCTACATCTGTATAATAATCTCCTGTTTCAGGGTCTGACTGAGGAGATTTAGGGTTTAGCCGGACTGGTAGTCAGAGGAAGTCGTCTTCTTCCTCTTTTTTTAACCTGATGGAGGTCAAAGGAAGTTATTTCAGATAATTCAATTTGATATTTTTGCGACTGTTTATGATAAATAATGTTGAAAGACATGTTTCCTCCTCTATATCATTTGTAGTTTATAAGTCGAATCAAGCAAATTCCCAGAAGGTAGCAGGTGTATCAGATGTTTGTTTCTAAGTGCTTGTTTGTTCCCAATTCTTCTTTACACTCCAGTTAATTAATACACCCAGCTATAACTAATGCTAACAAAGTCTGTTCTGCTGTA